ACCATTCATTTGCACTATTCCAGCAGCTCCAGCCTTTAGTGTCTACATTTCACTTTTGAGATAAAGCCAAACATGCACTTTATGTGAAGATTTCAAAGAGCGTCATAATTCATATGAGTCTTGCTCCAAAATGTGTTATGGTGGACATGTAGAGGTCATTTCCAAATCTGACGCATCAGTGACCAAACTATATATTCAATTCCCTGTATAGACTTGTACCATCAGGTAAACAATTGACTTGCCTTTGTATGTGTTTGTAATGGGTGCACCGGTGGGGCAGGATATGCTCACCTTCTCGCGAACACCTAGTGTCATCACTATTTGATATTGGTTCATAAAGTGAGTGAGTGAGTTTGGTTTAACGCCGCTTTTAACAGTATTCCAGTTATATCGCGGCGTGTCAGCTTAATGTGGGAGAAAAGCCCGAAGTGATGCAGGCCTCAAACGTTTACTACTTCGGTGAAACCCACGAGCACGGGTATGGTGCTGACAAACCTAGAATCGAAATCGGGGCGAACCGGGATTCGAACCCACAATCATAGGTTTCTGGCGTGCCCAAGGGACACAACTCTGCACAGCGAATCGCGGCGCCTTAGACGACTGGGCCACCCGTGCCCCCTTGTTCACATACTTATGATCAGGGAAAGAGTTTTGTCGAATTTATGTATCAGCTATCAACAGGTTAGATATTGATGTTACCTTTCTCTGAATATTACCATAATGTTGAAGATGACTCTATGTCAGCAGGTGTTTTGTCAAAATAGTTATTGAGGGATGTGGAGAAAGAGTAGATCCAAAAGACAAATACTTAATTTGCAATTTAAATAAAACATAAAATCGTATTAAATACTTTGCAGTATAAACAACAAGAACTACCAATACACCATGCCTAAACTTATCTTACAGAGGGAAAGGGGAAAGCCACTAAAATACATACATCCGTTGCTATACTCGTTGTAGGACGAGGTCGTGAGTTAGAGCCAAGGTGTATTCACCAGTGTTTACCTGTGCGTGCTATTTCAACATTAAAGGACCTCGCACAATGTGTGCCTTGACAGCAATTATAAACTGACAGTGTCTCATCGTATGTAGATTTGGGTCGTTGATATGTCAGGCAATATTCTATACAATAACAATATGTTTACCTACCCATCAAGAGGCCAGTGCCATGCCCACTCGGCGGTGTACACAGGCGCGATGTTTGGACTGAGAGGGTCCGTGTTGTGTTGTAATGGAACCTGTTTGTGGGACGTGTGGTATGAATACATGCAAGTATTTGATATATCGCCTTGATATATTTGATATACATCGTACCAATTCATTACTTGGCTTATGAATACGACTGTAATTTATGACGGCGTGTGGGATTAGTTGCATTTAATGTGCTCTAAATAATCCAATGTGTGAATAAGTTTCTCCAGTTTTCCTATTATAAGTTAGTCACTGCTTCCAACCATACTTCCAAACGCTGACAAAAAGCAGATTTTCTGCTATGCTCGTATAGTCATCGTTTCAGAATAATTTTTATACTACTCAAAACATGTCTTGCCATGACAGATTAACTATTGTAATGAAAGAATAGAGTGGTCCTTAACAATTTTGATCCTTAACTATAGTGGTTAGTGTCTTCTGTTAAATAAAATAAAATAGGCATATGCTTGCCGTGTAAGAGCCGACTATTGAGGATCAAGGGTGTAACGTATCATCATATCCTCCTGTCATAGGTTGTTGCCATGAACTAACGTCCAGCATGGTCTAAACCTAATGTATAGGCCGCTGTGATATAGCAGGGATATAGTGACTGCCACGAAAAGCAACATTCACAATTTCACCCCTTCGTTTTTGCATACATTCATTGCTTCCCCTTTATACTGAAAGAGTCATTGCTTTCATATTTCCTTTTATACTCATAGATTCATTGCTTGCATATTGCCTTTCATATACGAAGAGCGATTGTTTCTTAGTGTACCTTTGATACTTGTGTAGCCACTGCTTCCAACGTTCTCCTATATACTCGTAGAGACATCGTGTCCAACTTTCCCCTGTATACTCGTGGCCATTGCTTCCAACTTTCCCCTTTATACTCGAAGAGTGATTGCTTTCATATTTCCACTGCTTCCAACGTTCCCCTTTATACTCGTAGAGACATCGTGTCCAACTTTCCCCTGTATACTCGTGGCCATTGCTTCCTACTTTCCCCTTTATACTCGAAGAGTGATTGCTTTCATATTTCCACTGCTTCCAACGTTCCCCTATATACTCGTAGAGACATCGTGTCCAACTTAGCCTTGTATACTCGTGGCCATTGCTTCCAACGTTCCCCCTATACCCGTAGAGACATCGTGTCCAACTTACCCTTGTATACTCGTGGCCATTGCTTCCTACTTTCCCCCTATACTCGAAGAGTGATTGCTTTCATATTCCCACTGCTTCCAACGTTCCCCCTATACCCGTAGAGACACCGTGTCCAACTTACCTTTGTATACTCGTGGCCATTGCTTCCTACTTTCCCCGTTATACTCGAAGAGTGATTGCTTTCATATTTCCACTGCTTCCAACGTTCCCCTATATACTCGTAGAGACATCGTGTCCAACATACCCTTGCATACTCGTGGCCATTGCTTCCTACTCTCCCCTTTATACTCGTATAGTTATTATATTCAACTGTATTTCATATATTTCAGTGAAAACCTCGTTGTGTTGAATTCCTGATTTTGTTCATTCCTTGAAAACTCTTTATTTTCAATTATTATTACTATTATTATTAACAAGAGTTAAAAATATGTTAAATCTTACTCTGATAAGCCGAACTCAAAGCACAACTAAGCACAAGTTAGAATTTGTATCATTTGAATAAAGATGCATAACTGTAGATATAACAAATGCTTCTTTTTTCCCTTTATACACAGTTTGTTTGACCTACATTATCTACTGGCCTCCGCGATAAAGCTGTAATGATGCTGACTGCGGCGTTACACACTATTCACTCGCCTAGTCATATTTGGTTCCAAGTTTTCTGACTTTCAACTGAAGCAACCTAATGATATTAACTCCCGCTGTGTGCTGAAGACACTGATGTGTTGTGACCAGGACACAGATTACATGTCTTGGTTTTTGGATCTATACTTTTCATTTTCCCGGATAAAAATCCTAATGAAATGTCGATCATATCAAACATGACGGCCAGACAAGCTGGCGTCGCCAAGGACATGTCAGCCGTTGAAAACACGGCGAATCCCTCGTGTTTCCGTCTTTCCGAGGAGAAGTTTTGTTCAATAACATGCCACGGATGTCTATCACGGTAGCACAGTGATCAGCATGTAATAATATATTGTTGTAAAGAATCAATCAGGAGTTATATATCATATGGAGATTATTATACGAGGATGTATGTCATACGGATTTTTTTGAAACAAGTGGCAGATTTCTTGCATTTCCGAAGCGAGAGCGAGAGTAATTCACGAATTCTTACATGAATATTGCATATAGGGGAGTGTAATAATTTCTTAATCCTTTTGAGGTCCCCTTTAGAAAAATGCACTCATCACGACTACCGGAATTCAATATGGGTAAATATGCGTTTGGAATATGACGCCACTTTACGTTAGATATACCACAGCGTTACTATGGTGACTTGATATTTTGATTATAATAAAAGGCAAGAGTGTGGTATCAAATTTATTATACAAAAGTAGAATTTCATCGACATTTATTAAAGCATTGGTGAGGCTGATATAATAAATTATTTTTTTGTGACGTACTACTGTCACAGAATATCCCAGATGTCCCATGTCTTAATGTGATATTACAATACACAGCATCAACAAGTAGAGGAATATTATTAAACAGGTTGGAGGAAACAAAGAAAACTATAATATTTCATCATAAGAAGACGTCACAAAAACATCAACAGATTGAATAATGTTGCATATAAAGTCTTGAGATCAATAAAACATTTGATTTGCAAGGGCAGCTGCATTTGATTCAACACAGAAAACTCAATTTACCTCATTCGGAAATTACCATCAGTGTCAATGTACAGAGCCATACCTTGGCCTTCATGCCATCATCCAGTAGCTATTGTATGGGTTCGCTATTATGTCCGAAGCAAAGAACAAGAAAGAAAGCTGGTGAATCATGGATAATAAATACAACGCTGACAGGTACACTTTATTACTTTGGAGACGATGGTGGGTAGATATATAGAGGATGAAAGAGATGTAGGTTAGCCAGACAGTTGGTAGGTATACAAGGGATGGCAGATATATAGGAGAAGGTGGATGTATATGAGAGGGTAGATACATAGGGGATGGTAGATAAATTATATAGGAGAGGGTAGATGTATAGGGGAGGGTAGATATATAGGGAAGGGTAGGTATAAAGGGGAGGGTAGATATATAGGGAAGGGTAGGTATAAAGGGGAGGGTAAATATATAGGGGAGGGTAGATATAAAGGGGAGGGTAGATGTACAGGGGAGGGTAGATATACAGGGGAGGGTAGATATATAGGGGATGGTAGATAAATTATATAGGAGAGGGTAGATCTATAGGGGAGGGTAGATATATAGGGAAGGGTAGGTATAAAGGGGAGGGTAGATATATAGGGAAGGGTAGGTATAAAGGGGAGGGTAGATGTACAGGGGAGGGTCGATATACAGGGGAGGGTAGATATATAGGGGATGGTAGATAAATTATATAGGAGAGGGTAGATGTATAGGGGAGGGTAGATATATAGGGGAGGGTAGATATATAGGGGATGGTAGATAAATTATATAGGAGAGGGTAGATGTATAGGGGAGGGTAGATATATAGGGGAGGGTAGATGTACAGGGGAGGGTAGATATATAGGGGAGGGTAGATATATAGGGGAGGGTAAATATACAGGGGAGGGTAGATATATATAGGGGAGGGTAGATATATAGGGGAAGGTAGATATATAGGGGGGTAGATATATAGGGAGGGTAGATATACAGGGGAAGGTAGATATATAGGGGGGTAGATATATAGGGAGGGTAGATATACAGGGGAAGGTAGATATAGAGGGGAAGGTAGATATAGAGGGGAGGGTAGATATACAGGGGAGGGTAAGCAAGCCAGACAGTATGTAGATACATAATGGTTTACATCCATCTGGAGAACTCAAACTAACAAAGAAGAAGATGCAAACAGAGAATGGTGTCAGATGAAATGGCGTAAAGGTGGTGATGAATGTGCATGATTTCTGTTACATTGTCGGATAATTCTGGAAGACACACAACGGGGCGAGAAACAAACTGGAATCAACCCGGATCAAATTCAATTCAAGTCGTCAGAAACAAATCCAAAATCCTAAATTGAAAAACAAAATAAACAATTGAAGAAAAATATTTTCTTGGAGAAAACAACCAGTTATGCCCCTGTCCCTCCCAATAAAATTGCAAGTATTAAAAGTGATGACAACCATTAATAAGATATTTGAGATAATGAGAAGTAATCTTCTCTTTCATAATTATCTCCCCTTAGTTGACCTCTTGCTTGTATTTGTCAATTGCAGATTGACCAGATTTGATGTTGATTGCGGCAGCACATGATGTGACGCGTCTTTTGTCAGAGCCACATCCTGCTGCGTCGTCAACTTCTAACCTACATGCGTGTCTTATTTTAAAACGAGGGGACGGGTGGCCGTCCCTTAGGCACGCCAGAAACCTTGGGTTCTTTAACCGCCTTGCCCTGATGTTGTTTCTAGGTTTGTCAGTACTATACCCATGATCGTGGGTTTCACCAAAATGGCAAACGTCTGAGATCTGCATCACTTCGAACTTTCCTCCCACATTAAACTGAAACGCCTCGATATAACTGGGATACTGTTCAAAGCGGCGTAAAACGCACACACTCTATATATAAACGATATTTGACTCCTCCACTTAACTCAACTTTAACCATTGGAAGACCCGACCATACAAGCATAAACGCCTTAATACTGACTTGTAATATTGATTTGTTGAAACTAGTGAAGTAGTTCTGAATCACCCATCACTAGCATATCCGTTCATGTGTATCGAAAACATAACAAGACTTACTCTGAAGCATACGCTTGCTTCAAATCAATCAAACATAAATTATATCGAAATCGATTTTTGCACACCGTGAAACCTATTTGCTAGGATTTTGGTACGTCTCTCTTCTTTAACCCTGAAGGCCCAATTCTCAGTCCGAGTATAAAAAAGGTTTCTCCGGAAGCGCTCGTTAAATCTCCATCATCCTCATTCTTCAATTCTGATATGATCTGGTTCCTCATCAGTTGACTCTGGGACTTCGCGGTGAGCACGTAACGGTTACAAGGCGTTTTATATCCGGGCGTTTGAAATAACCTTTGGAATGTTGATCTTCTGTGGCGTCGTAAGGAGGGATAATATCCTTGTATTTGGTTCGTCGTCTTTCCGTGATGATTCCGTCGTTGACAAATTGTAACTCCCGCAACTCCATCTCGTCAGCATTTGGTGTGAGGCGACATTTCCGACGGAAACTAAGCTTGTTGAGGCTCCTGCTGGAATGCTGTGACTCCTGTAAACAAACAAATTGATGGTTACTGTGGTGATATATGTTAAAGGCAGTCATCAAGCGATACCCAATGGTTGGAACACCTAAAGTAGCACGTGATTAAAATACCCACCTGTGGCATTCACTTTCTGCACATTACACCTTCGTTATACCTACAAGTTTAGGACTATGATGATATATGTTTAAGGCAGTCATCAAGCGATACCCAATGGTTGGAACACCTAAAGTAGCACGTGATTAAAATACGCCACAGTGGCATTCCCGTTCTGCACAGGACACCTTTGTTATACCTACCAGTTTAGGACTTATGTGTGTAAAGACCCAGTGACGCTAAAATAGCACGATAATATAAGCCTCCTTTTGGATTAAGCAGCGCTTGGAGTGAACGCTCGATGTCTACCTGTATTTAGCTATCGTGTAGTGGTTGTTTCATAAAGAAGTTCTTTAGCTTTGTTAAAAATAATCTTCTAGAATGTAGAATGAAGTACAAGACTTCCAATTGACGATACTGTACTGAAACTGTACTGGGCTTATAAATAATGTACATCGGTGCACGGGAGGCCAAGTCGTTTAAGGGCAACAATTACCCCCCCTCCCCCCGCACACTGTGTACGTTATACCCTAAACCTGCCAGAGCTCCCCGTTGCGTATGTGTCAATTGGGCTAACTATACGAGGATATATTAATTGTTGTAATGTTTTGTTTGTTTGTTTGTTTGTTTGTTAAGTCTGGACCAGGCAATCTAGTGATTGACATCATGAGCATAAATCAACGCAATGGGTATACGATGACATGCATAAACCAAGTAGGCGAGCCTGACCACCCGATCCCGTTAGTCGCCTCTTCAGACAAACATGGGTTCCTGAAGTCCAGGGGCGGTCGGGTAGCCTAGTGGTTAAAGCGTTCGCTCGTCACGCCGAAGACCCGGGTTCGATTCCCGACATGGGTACAGTGTGTGAAGCCCATTTCTGGTGTCCCCCCGCCGTGATATTGCTGGAATATTGCTAAAAGCGGCGTAAAACCATACTCACTCACTCCTGAAGTCCAATTCTAACCCGGATCTTCACGGATATGTTGTAATATAAATAATCCTATATGATATTCCGACGCTAACGCGTTAAGCAGAGAAAATGACGGATGATGCATATGATTAATCCTGCAATTGATTATTTGTATACTTTTTCAGATGTATATGTATCATGTTTAAACGGAGCTTTAAAAAGAAATTATACCTCTCAGTTGATTTTATCATATGTTTGATTTTCAATTGGAAATATTTTAAGTTAGCAATATTATGAACAAACTGCCCTGTACTGGCGCCTAGTATGCACTTAAAGAATAATTCATCATGGTTATATTTTTAAAAATATCATTTGATTTGAAGCTTTAAAAATAAAAATATGTTTTGTACTTAATACACAACAGGGGTTTCTTAGACACATAATCTTTGAAAATCAATACGTTTGTCTTTTTTCACCACAAGTTTACATTTAAAACAGGTAGGGGTGATGAGGTTACAAATTTATTTCTTATCCCAGTCTGCATTAGACGAATGTATTTTGACACAAAATTACACAGCCACAGATAAATTTTTACAAACTGTTGCAGGAATAAGTGATCATCATAGGCATAATTAAAGAGTTCTTTCAGTATTCAATTCCATAAAATTACCCTCAGTTTATATTGTCCTTTGTAGAAATATATTTCCCAGACGTTTCAATCAATATGTCAATGGTTAGGCGGGGTTGAATAACACACAGTGACTTGTGATTAAATAAAGCGTACGTAAAATGTCTGAATATTAACTCCCAGACCGTCGCCTGTGTCCATGAACCAAACTCTACATTAAGTAAAGTTTACGTAATTTTAATGTCTGTATATACACTTTGTGGCAAGAGACGTTCTAATCGAGGGGTACATTCAACAATTTGCTTCCGACCATGAAGATATTGTTCTGAAACTATGATACTCTACATCCCCCATCAACCTTGTGTCTACAGCATGTAGTGTCGGTACGGTTACTGAACATACACTCTCAAACAGAAGTCTTTGGATCCCAAACAACAGCATTAAGTTGCTCTATGTGTATTTGAACACATTCACATCAACCTCGTGTCTACAGCATGTAGTGCCAGTACGGTTACTGAACATACACTCACAAACAGAGGTCTTTGGGTTCCAAACAACAGCATTAAGTTGCTCTATGTGTATTTGAACACATTCACATCAACCTCGTGTCTACAGCATGTAGTGCCAGTACGGTTACTGAACATACACTCTCAAACGGAGGTATTTGGATCCCAAACAACAGCATTAAGTTGCTCTATATGTACTTGAACGTGCTTTTGATTGATTCGAAACATATGTTTTGTTTAAGAGTTTTGAATGTTCATTCCTAATTATTATGTATTGTGTGGAGCAAAACTAAACTAATATATTTATCCCGCACGCTCTCACCGCAATGTTATGACAGCATATGCCAAATAGGAACTGGGAGATGTGCTTGAACGCGGCATGAAGGTACCTGAACGTGGTATGGTCATGGGGTGGGTTTATGCAGACATGGTATGGCAAACGGGGAAGGTATAAGACAAAACGATGAAGATGGTATGGTCAATGAAAACATGAATGATGCGATAGGATGTGAGAAAAATATACTTGTTATGGTCATAGCAAATGAAAGTTCCAATATCATGTATCGAGTGTTGTCTGTTTTACGTTTTGCTACTCCATACATGACATCCAAAATCATCTTCCCGAGGCAGGGACATAATTGACTGTAAAAATCCAGTTTCCACCCTTGCCGAAGTAGGCTTGAATTTCTGGGCTCGATCGTAGCGCCACCAGTGGCTATTACGAGTAATGCCCTTATATGTCCCTCCTATTACCCAATCAGATTCCACCTCTCATATATCACTTGCATTTACTTCAAACAAAATGGTCGCGTACAGTCAAGAAGATCTGATCAATAATCATACTCTACATTGTAATTAAATGCATCACTGTCCGTGAATGCCTTGATTAAAACCACAAAAGATTTAGAATATATCTGTTGACGCCGAGTTGGCGGTACACATGCTTTGCAAATCCTGCAATCAACCGAAATCTGCTCGGCAGTTTACGAACCGGATGTCGATTTCGTTACGCGATTTTGATTGGACTATGCATAGACTCGTCAGTCCAGCCATAATGAAACTCCATAATTCCAACCTAGTTCGGCAAGGATGGAAACTGGACTTTTATAGTCAGTTCACTACCTTGCCTTTGGAAGACGATCCAAAAGGTGAAAGAGGCTCGTTCTTTACTAGGTATGTGACGATGATACTTTAAAGCGGCCCTTTCAAGGTTGATGTGTGTTTGACCATCGACTTAGCAAGGACCTGCTCTGGTATTGGATCGAACTGTAACCTAACCTCAATCGTCTTTACAGTGACACTCACATGATTAAGCAGAGCAGAGCAGAGCAGAGCAGAACCTCATTCCACTCAAGACTATGTTGATAGTAAGTTCAAGATAGAAGAGTAGCACCTTTGTTTGTGATGACGACTATTTCACATTTGTTACAATCAAGTTACTTTAAAACAGTTATACGATTGTAATAAACAGACGATTTCAAACACCGAATTTCCCTTCCTAAAATATGCAGATATGTAAGAATTCTTACGTCGTTAAGACAGTCACATAGAAAATGATAATTGCATTCATCACATAATTAACATGTAGCGGCCATAAAATTTCCGAGTCCCGTGATGGGATTCGAACCACGGACCTTCTGGTCCGAGATCCTTCTTGCCCACATGACCAAAGAGGTTAACCCCGTCAGCAAGCCGACAAGGTAAGGATGTCATCTGTGGGACGACTCCACGCCCTGCTACATACAGAACCGTTTATCGATAGGTATGTTATTCCATCTCTTTCTCAGTTGGTAGTCGATGACACGAGGATCTAAATTTTAACAGTGAACGGATTACGCGGAAAAACCAGATCGCACAGGTATAAAATATAGTCAAAGAAGACAGAAACATTAAGTTTGATTCATGTCTTAAATACGCCCAACATGTCAAGACATTGTATGTATAAATACATTCTGAATATCTTTCATTAACGAACTAGAGATATGTGTTCTCGTTATGATACGTTTATCCAGGTTAAAGTAATTTTAAGGCAGAACGAGCTGGTGATCGAGCTGGTGCACACAGTTGACATTGGCCATCACAACATTTCCTCATCACATCGTGTGTGGACTCGCTGTTCTCTCATGCCTCATTGCGTGTTCATTTGCCTTCCATGGAAGCCATCAGAAGGGAACACATCCCCTGTATAATCTAATGCCAACTGTTAAATTAAGGAAACTAAGGGTTCTCGGGGTGTTCTTGAGTGAGGCTCAGAAACTGTAACACCGTGTTAGTAACACTACGTGTTAACTTGTGATGGGTGTCGTTGGGTCGATGACATGGCGCACAATAAACATGACTGATTGATATTTAATTGTATGCGGGTCATACAGCTTGTATTTGTATGCGTGTATGCCCCTCTCCCTCGTAATATTATTAGGAATAGCTCACTTCAGTGACTGCAGTAACTTTGCACTAGAATTCCCAAACTTCAATATGTCCATTTAACTTAAAATATTGGCCTCCACGCTTTATCCAAATTACCGTATATATGTCAGGTTCTGACTTTCCTCTGTCCAGGTGATAATTATATAATACAGTTGTATGGCCATGATTACTGGGCCACATTTCCACACCTCACGGGTGCTTGCGACAGAATTATTACGCTGGTCAATGCATCAGTGTGCACTCGATTTTCATTCTCAGCTCCCTGAGGAGTATACAACAAATCTATAGTACATATTTCAAATGTAGTACAAGGGGTTCTCTAAAATCTATTTGAAAATCTGGTTTACCTTGAATAGCGCAATTGCAGCCTCCATTTCACCAGTTAACTTTTTGCCATATATTTCTTCTAATTCTTGAATATAGCCCTCCATGTTGCATTGC